CTAGGCATTCACAAAATCAGTGCCACAAATTTTTCTATGAATCATCACCTGAGTTCGGAAAAAATTGCCACGGGAAAGATGGATAAAACGAGGCTAAAAGTTCGACTGAAAATTCTGTGAATTTTGCAACTGCACTAGCGGGAATGAAATTTCCAACCACAGATGGTGCGGTAAAAAAATCTCTTTTGATACAAATGATCAACAATAAAAAGAAAGCAGGGAGAGCATGGAACCAGTAAAGTATCAAGAGGAACTAAGTGCACCCATCACAACAACTGAAAGGCAGTGGTACTTATAGAAGCAGTAATCAGGCCAAAAAATTGTACTTTAATGGAAGGAACTTGAAAAGTTCCTGAGAAAGAAGCGCTTCTCCTCCTCACAACCGACCCAAATTGGATCAAAAGTAAAAAGCAGCCCTCATACAGATGGAAGGAACGACGCAATCAGCGCATAGAACGATTTTCAAAAGGCCCGACTTAAAGACACTGGAATTACAGGAAGCATACATAACACGCAACACTTCAGAAAATGCAATTACTTTAAGAGAGCAACTCCTTTGGGAGTACCACTGAGATCTCTGTACATTTCGACAACATTCCGCTCAACATCGTCCAGAGTTACATCATAGCCGTGCAGCACTCCATTCGGAACCGGCAGAAGCTCGGCCAATGCGGCTCGTGCCTTATCATCACTGCAATCAGAACCGACGAATATTTATGATACTTATGGGCGGAAGATGTTTGGAAAGCTCTCACACGAAGAACGAGGTACTCGTCCCCACCCGCCCCCCCTCCCTTAAGTAATCACAGTTTTATCAGCAGTGATTCGCAGTACTGTTGTTTCCTGTTTCGAAGTTTAGTTAAGAAGATCCGAATGAAGGTGTGGATCTTCCAAAAGTTAAATGTAGTCTTCGCCAGAACGCCAGTCCTCGGAGAGCTATTGTGTTTCAGTTCTAAGGAATTAATTTCACCTATAGGCGAAGAAAGACGGTAGTAATGCCTGACAACATACACCCGGGAGGAAAAAGGGAACAACGGGGGAGCTAATCCAATAAAATGCGATATATTTATTCATCAAAGACATATATATGGATTTAACCATTACCTCACGTAATCGCCACAATAGATTTGCAAGAAGTTTGATGCTATTTTGTAATATTCCAGATCTGTAAATTCCAGTAATCCCTGAAAGATCTTGTTTTAAATAACACTGCAATATACCATCATTATAATTAATTACAGGGTTTTTTTAAGCGAAATGAGCTATTTTCATGCGGAAATGTGATTTCATGCGTTTTTCATAACCTTTCATCATAATCCAGCAGTAATCTCCGGCTCGAATGAAAGAACCAACAAAAATGGCGTCAGTATTTTTATTATTAGAGAACAATGATGCAATGAAAAAAAAAACCCCTCACTTTTACTAAACGCCTTGCTGTCTCGAGGAAATACAGTTCGACGGCCGATGGGTGACGCAATGTGAGGATCGAATCGACAAAAAACCTGAAAATACGCGCAAAAAGCTGTAAAAAAAATTAGCAAATGTGGAGATTAAAAAGCAGTAAGCATGACCCTGCTGGCGACATTTAAAATAAAAATAAACATTATCAAACAGGTATTGCAGTAAAACTTTTCAATTTGCCTCTTGAACAATTTAAAATTATTGAAAAATTTTCAAAAAAAAAATGCGTCAACTAACTTTACGCTGTGGTGCAGTTCCAAACCGGACTGATGAGACTTGCGCG